AGTCAGACTAAATACAAATTGTTTAAATTAATTCTAAAATTTGCAAATACAAACGTATAATTTAATTGATATAAATATTCCAAAAAAATCAAGTATAAAATAATGTTTTTAAGTTAGCTGGCCACTGCAACTCATATTATAACGACCAAAATAAAAGATAAGAATGAACGAGAGCCAGACGTTGCAGTGCAGATAGGCGGCGTTCCATCTGGAGAAGGAGCCAATTTGACACTGCTGGGGATAATTCTGTTTCCGATCTTAATTATAAATAAGATCTTATAATTAAAAACGGAGATAATATATTATAAATATTTTTTTTTGTTTAAGACAAAGGGGCAGCTAGGGGAGCTTAGCCGGTAGGAAGAGCCCACGAATGAGCAGAGAAGCCGAAGATGACCAGTAAGGTGAGAGGATGAGAAGCATGTGCAGCGATGTGGATGGCACGTGTCAACGTCAACGGGAGTTGTCTTCACGTGAACGGTGGGTGGATTTTAAAAATGGGAAGAATAGATAAGAAAGGCAGAAACAGCATCTGGAGCTACCAGGAAAAATTGGGGCAAAAAAAATAGTAATAATAATAAAGGCATCTAGAAAGCGGAAAGCTGTGGTCCCCACTCCACGTGTCAGGATTATGGACATAATTGGCTGCCCTTCACTGAGATGACACTTCGTGTCTTTTACCGGAGGCGCCGTAACGGGGCTGCCTCCTCCATACACCACCATCTTATAGTTATTTATAGTTTCATTATTATAGAGTGATAATATTTAACAATTGTAAAAGTAATTATTATTTATTTTTAATTACTCCATATAATTATATTTCACAGACGTTATTATTATTTTTATACATGTTTTTTATAAGATTATTAAATTTAAAAAAAATAAAAATGCGGTTGAAAATTTCTAATTAATTTTCTTTTTTATTTTTCCTTCTGTTAAAATTTTATGATGTCTATTTTTTTAAAAAAAATAAAACTGACTGAAATATTCCTATCACTCCCTTCAACTTTTCTCAATCAGAATAGAAAGTTAATATAGGCCGTGGACCTATTTCATCTCATTTATTATTACTATCAGGTATTAAATAAATATGGACACATTTTTTAATAAAAATTTGGATATTAATTTATTATGTTCAGTTTGTCTGTCTTGAATATTTACTTCATGTATGTTAAGTCAGGCCTCACGTATCTGAATGTCCGGACCAAATTAAATTTTTATTATTAACATTTTACACTGTCCATTTTATATTTCCACCACACATTTTAAAAAATAATAATTAAATTAAGTTATCTATATTCGTTATTTTATGTTTTCTAAATATACACAATCATATGTTTTGTGTTTGAAATATTATGATTTAATTAGAAATTCACATAAAAAATAATACAAATAAGTACACAACTATATATAATTGAAAATTTTGATATAAGACTACACTTTTAAAATTCCAGTCCTTGAAAAGTGAAAACACTCATTACTCATTTTCATATATTTAAAAAAACATTAAATTAATAAAATTTTTAAAATTTTTCTCTGTATTCACAAATGATTCTCACTTTTAACCGAGAATTAAATAAATGTAAAATTAAGCAAATCAATAAATACCTTACAAATCATTTATATTTAGGACAAAAATGTTTTTATAATAAGTAATAACACCGGAGTGGTCCCTTTTTTTTTTTTTTCATTTTCTTCTTCACCAACCAGTAATGTTCAGAATAAACTTACAAGATTATGAGAGGATCTGAACGCTTCGGAGGAAAAAAATGGGGGAGGGAAAATTGCAACGACCTCAGGACTCAAAAACCTTTCAAAATAGAATGGAGGAAAAGTTCTGCTCTTTTCTGTAATTTTGAATTTTAAATTAAAAAAATGGACAAGATAAAAAAAGAGAAGGTAATGGGAAATCACATGATCAAAAGAGGCTGATAGGAAAATTTGATTACGATACGTGGAACTATATGATGTATACGCGTTTTGGATATGGTGTTTTCAATATCATAATACCCCTGGCATTTTAAGAACAAAAGCAAATAGAAAGCCAGCCAACAATCATGGCTTTTTGTGACGAGCATGAGATGTTCTAGTTGACGCTAAAAATGTTTAGATAAAAAAAAAAACTATAATTTTAAGAATAATTTTATAATAAACGAAGTAAATATCATAATTTGAAGCTGTATAACAAAAATTTGGTTAATCCGTGAGAATCACCGACATTAACCCTTTTTATAAATTTATTTGGGTAAAATAAATGAAACAAATTCCCTCCCTCCCTCCTGTATATATTTTTGTATTTCATGTCCGATATACTACTTTCGGTCTTTAACATAAAAATTAATTAGTTAATTTAAAAATATTAAAAAAATTAATTAAGTTTATTATTTGTAATAAAAATATGTTTTTTTAAATAGTCCTGCTAATTATGTGTATTAGCTAGTATTATCATTTAATGAAATTTTTAACATTTATAATCACTACAAGGACTATCTTGAAAAAATAGATAAATATGAGAGACAAAAATGATTTGAGTCTTATATTTAGTATCAAATTGGATATCAAATTAACTCGTATACTAAGGATCGTAGGTAGTATTAAGGGTTAATATAATTTTTGACCGCTCTAGTTTGTCCTCATTCCTGCTTTGTCTCCTCAAATTTCAAACTATAGTTTTTGGTCATTCAATTTTTTTTCATTTAAAACATTAGACCACATAATTTAATAAAAACCTGGACCACTTGACACGTTAAATGACTAAAATCTATAATTTGAAATTTAAGAGACTAAAATTAAAATAAAGACAACTTGAGAGAGGAAAAATTATATTAACCCTAAATACTAAAATAAAAAAGTACAGTATATATAAAATTCTGCTGTTGAATAAAACGTGTTATTGCCGGCCCAAAAAGAATGAAACATGTGATGTAATGCAATAAACATCACCTACGCATCCAAAACCCCCCCCCCCCCGGGGGGGCCTGAATCACTTACCCATCCAGTTAAGTATTGCGTCTTCAATATCTACTAGAAATACTTTATAGTCTTGAATCTGTTTTAAAATAGTTCTCACTCTAAAATTCGAACGAAGTAATAATTATTGTCAGCTCATTTTTTTAACTCTTTATTATTGGAAATAATATATGAAAATATCTAGGAAAAAAATAAAACGACAACGACATTTTGATGAACTATTTAATACTCTAATTTTTAATTTTTACGCGTCTTTCTTGTCCAATAGTTTTTCAGACCCAATTGTTTGCCTGTCGGGTTTAGGCTTTTTTCTATACCACTCGTTTGTATCTGCTTTAATTTAACTTCATGCTTGTAATCATTTTTAAATACTTTTTCTGAATCTTATTATAAAGCATTTTCAATTAATTCTCATGTACTAAAGACGAAAAGTCTAAGTGTTAAATTTTTTCAAGTTTACTCCTATTTAACCGCAGTGGATAGAAAAGCACGAGGTTCCGCGTTTATTGGCACTGAACCTTGATTGACAACAACGGCAAAATTGAAAAATTACAGTGAACAAGCTGGTTAATGTTTTATATTTAGAATCAAAAATTGCTTTCAAAAAATACCCAATAATAGGTGTTAAAAAAAGTAAGTTGAGATAAAATTCCGTTCATACAGTTATTTTAAATTTTATAAACTATGATTAAAAAGTTACTTCTCCGTCTCTTATTATAAAACCAATTTAATTATACTATGTAATTAAAAAAATTTAAAGTTAGTTAGAAGTAATAAATATTTTAGAAATGTACATTTTTCTTAAATATACTCTTATTTGTAAATGGATAGATATAAGTAAGAGAATAAATGCGAGAGAATGTATTAGAAAAAGATAATAAGTAGAGTATGTTAATTAAGGGTAAAATAGGTAAAAATATATTTATTATTTAGATAGATGAGAATTTTATTATAAAATTAAACCAATTTTTTTGGCCGGAAAAAGAAAAACCAATTCACAAAATTAAATTTTATAATAAAAAATGGAGGTAGTACAGTGCTATTCCAAATAAACCCCTAAAAAGGCAAAAATGCAGCCATTTGGCAGCAAAAAACCACATCATTTCTTTTCTTCGATGTTAGTGGGCCCCATTGCGGACTTCACCATCTTCATTTAAATTTAGTTTAGTTTTCCGCTGCCGGTCTCCCATCAAAAGGGTGTTAAAAAAAAAAAAGGGAAAATAAAGAAAGAAAAAAACCAAATGAAGTACACGCCCAAAAAAATCCATTCTTCTCGAGTTCTCCCGGTAATCACAAAGGATATCTGGGGTGTTTGTGCTCCGACAATCAGCTAATTTTATTTTTTTCCGTTTTATTAAAAAAAATTTTCTTACATATTTATTTACTTAATATAATCAAAAATTATTTAAAATAATATATTTGGTATTTTCATTTGATATGACATTTTAATTTGGTTTTTTATTTTTTTATTCCTTAACTTTAAAATCGTTAGAATTAAATTATGTTTTTTAATTATTACGATTGCATTAAAAATTAAACTTCATATATTAATATTTAAAAATATCTTATTACTATTTATATCTCCATGTTAGATTTTATTTAAGATTTTTACATTACAAATTAAAGTAACAGTGAATAAGCTCATCGACCTATCCTGATTCTAATGATCAGGATTCAGGAAATTTCCATAAACATTAAATTTTTTGTAATATAGAAGCAGCAGGATTAACCTGAAACTTTTTTATATATAAGAAAGTATTGTCGGAGCTTTAATATTTTAATACACGAAAAAGTCTGGCAAAAAAAAAATAATACATGAAAAAAGTAAAAATAACGAGACTTTCGTGAAGAGTCTTTTTTTTTTAATTAAAGCCTCCCGCTCGACTCGACGCCTCTCTGTCTCCCCCCACTCCCCTCCTTTTCCCACCACTATATATGCCCCCTTCCTCTTCCTTTCTCTTCCCTTCCATCTAAGCGCGCTTCCCTTCTCTCTGTCTCTTCACTCTTCTTTTCTTTCAATCCAGCCCATAATGGAGCTTGCCAACCAAAAGAGCAAGCGACTCCGCCATGACTCAGAACCCCACTCGCCCGAGTCCAAGATTGCCAGAGTTGACTCCCCCTCTGATGTCAACCCGGAAGACCCAGCCATGGACTCCTCCGTCGCTACGGACATCCATGACGACCTTCTCGATATCCTTGATGAGACGGATAACTTACCCGAGCGAGACCCTACCATGCAGGGCCTCGACTCCGTAATCAAGAGCTTTGAGGAAGAGATCCTCGCTTCGGGTCCGGGCTCCGTCATTCCTGACCCCACACCCGAATCCGGCGAGTTCCCCGTGCAGCTGGGATACCTCTTGGAAGCTTCCGACGACGAGCTAGGGCTGCCGCCGTCGGTGACGCCGTCAGAGGATACGAAGCCCGAGAGCGAAGAATTGAGCCAGGTGGGCTCGGACGGAGTTGATATGGGGGAGTTATTGGGGTTTGAGAATGATATAGAGAAGTACGAGTCGGTAGGGTTAGGAGACGGAGAAAACGAGAACGGCGGTGGTATTGTGAGCTTCGACGACGGGTTGTTGGATTACCCGGACTTGTATGAGGTGGTGTGGCGGTCGGAGTCGTTGCAGGCTATGTGAAGGAAGGAGGGTTAGGGCGTAGCGCTAGGTTTGGTGGGCATCATTGAACTGAGTACGGCAACATGTAAACTGGGGAAGACGATGAAACCACAGAAACATGGACTGTAGATGGTAGGTGTGAAAATTTGGCGAGATGTTCTTTGTAGCGCAGGAATCAGATTCAGATGTTGTGCCATTCGTGATTTTTTTTTTTTTTGAGACTTCGATGGAGCGCTGATGTCTTTCTTTTTATTTGATTTTAAATTTTAAATTGAAGGAACTTAGAACTTGAGTTAAACAAAGATGGGCCAGTTCAATAATCCCATATTTGTTTTAACACATGCTGCACCGGATTATCAATGGCCCAAAAAATCCAGTGGGCGATCAAAGTGTAATGCTCTGACCACCAAGCCGGGAAACCATAAAATTAAGTATTTGATAAGTAACCAAAATTTGAAGATGTGTATATGTACGGAAGAAAATATTGATGTGTAACTATTGTCACCTATAAGCTGTAGTTTAAGTTAAATGTTTGATGTTTGATTTTCTCATACGTTCCTACTCATCATCAATTGCTTATTTTTGAGAATCAACAGAGCAAACGCAAAGAAACACTAATTGTCAAAAGCAAATTTGGAAAAGTTTTCAATTTGCATCCAAAAACTATCTCTAAACAGAGTAAAGTAGATAATAATGAACTGTGTTTGAGACGGAAGATGGCGCATTTCACTTCAAATGCTCTGCGAATTGTTTGGCTAACTTTTGGTAACATAAGATGCTGCGCTTCTCAAAATAAAAGGAGAAGGAAGTCTTATCCTGTTTCTTCAAGACGAGGGGATTTGCAGGCATAACTAAAATCCTCCTCCTTTCCCCTTCAAACCAAATTTAGTGAGACAATATTAATCCCTCTTCCCTTCCCATCTCTTCCCCTACCCTTTTGCTTTTATTAAACCAAACACTGTGTAAGCAAGCTTCTTTTATAAAATATCAAGTTACTTGTACACTATAACTTCAATGAGGTGGTATTTCCCGAGAATTTTAACTGAATTTTCCTATAAATCCATTTATGATATATGAATGTTTTTTATTTGTGCAAAATTTCGTTAAAAGCAACCGTTTGAAAATTTTATCCGCGAGAGGAACTTGAATTTAAGTAAGTGCAACTCTTTTTTTAATTATGTACACCATGTTTCAGTCATGTGCAAAAGACTTTAATTTTTAAAACTTTTACATGCACCTGAGGACATTTTTGTGTGATCAGAAAAAATACTTATACATTTAGAATCTTTTGACTCATGAACTTTTTAAACAAATAAGTTTAATTTTACACATAAATATATTGTATATTAGATTATTAGGCATAAATAATACTACTACATTCTGTTCTTAATATAAAACCTAATTAACTAATTTAAAAAAGTAATGAAGTTATTAAATTATTTAATTATAATATGTTACATGATATGACTAAAATATTTATATACATCATTAGAATATATAAATTGACAATAAGTCATATTAATTTAGGAAAAAAAGAGAGATAAATATAAATATTTAAAAATAATTCAGCAATTTTTTAAAAGTAATCAACCAACGGTAAGCTTAAATTTAAAATTTGGGAAATAACTAACGTACGGACGGCATCTTGTGATGTGATGAGATTAATGGTAAGAGGCTTTGTACAATGGACAGTAGAATGGTACCACCCGACTACAGTAGTGGTGATAAAAGCAGACTCTGTATGGTCTATGCCTTGGGGATCTTTAAAAGTTCTTTGCGCTTCAGAAAAATATCCGCGACCTGTGAACGCGAAAATGACAATTCAGTATGATTTAAATGCACGCAGACCATTAATCGTCAACATCCTCGACATCGAACACATGGGAACGAGGAAATGATCGCCAATGTTCGTACCTTTGTAAGAGTATTATTTGATGATAATTTACTTTATTTTTAATATTAATTCATTTTATCTTTACATGGCTATATTCCCTCCAGCCTTGTATTCTACGATTAATCACTTCATAAATTAAATTGGCGGCCATATATATATATATATTAGTAATTTTGAGACAGAAATACAAGGAGGGAGGAAGGGGCTGATTTCCCCCCATAGCAGCACTATCACTTTGTCGGGGTCAATAATTTTACTTGTAACGAAATGCTAAAATACATTCTTGGACTCTCGGTTGTAAAATTCTAGATTCATCCCTAGTTATTTTACATGAAAAGTTATTTTAATAATTTCACCGTCTCTTTAACTTTGGTGGGAAAATTTAAAGCGTCTTGTATGTAGAATGAGATGAAATAGATGCGATGAAGGCCACCTGCCGGCCCATTCATATGCATGCCACAAAGAGTTTACTTATTTGAAGATATAGGCCGGAATACACACGCACACATACATATATTCATTTCTTATAAAAAATAAATATTAATTATAGTGGGCCTTAAAAGCATTTCGATTCATTTTTCTCAAATTTGTGGAATATAACAAGATATTACATGTTTATGGTACTTCATCAATATCAACATCGGTATAGTCAATTCTTTATACTACATCCAGTACTTAATATAAAAACTAATTTGACTTTTAATTTCATTCTAAATATAAGATTTTTATTTATTTTATCTCTCATATTTATCTATTTTTTCCACTATAATCCTTGTAATAATTGCATATGTTGAAGGTTTCTACACATGGTAGTTCTATATAATACACATGATTAGCAAGGATATTTTAAGAAAGATAACACCTATTTATTACGAATAACTAACTCATTAATTTTATTAATCTACTTAAATTAATTAACTAGCTTTTATATTAAAGACCAGAAGTGGTGTTATCAATATCACACATCAACATGTGTGCGTGTGTGTATCAACTATCAACGCAAAGTGTTACGTGATAACACTACTAATTAACAGGCACTTTTTTTCCTCATCTCCACCCATTGGATCGGATCCACAGCCCTCTAATAATCTCTCCCATCTATCATCAAACTGACTCGTATGTTCAATGCAGAGATATCAGATATCAAAAGTATCCATCGTCATATAAACATATCCTCCATTCTCTGAAGTCTGAACAGCCTATAACTTATATGGTACTTTAGATCTCCTCTCATAAAAGAGTTTCTGAATTCTAGATCATGTATTATCAAAATAGGGGATTGATGTGAGGGTTTTCTCCTGTGCGAGGGTGTTAAATTGTTCAAATCAAAAAGCCTTCCGGTTCTAAATGTAAGATAATTTTAAGAATTTTGTCAGGGCTCAATTCATTTCATGTCCACTACCTGATTCATCTTTTTCCTAAAATAGCCCTAATTAATGCTCCGCCTTCCCCGCTTAAAATAAACGTGTTAGGATGACTCCAAAAAAAAAACCACAAATTTTTTATATATTAATAATTATATATAATTAGTTTATTTTTTGATAAGTTTGTTTTTCAGGTAATGACTTCTGAGGTCTGGCCAAAAAAAAAAAAGGTAATGACTTCTGAGGGAAGAGACGCATGCAATACAAATCCTTCATATATACAGGGACACCACCACCGCCTTTTTTTTTTTTTCCCCCTTTGGGTATAACTCAAAATATCATCAAGTTATTTTGGGTTTGAAACTAATTTCTCTCAGGTAAAAAATGTTAAGGTTAAAACCCTCTCAACAAGTATACATCTTAGGATTCAACCTAATATTTTTCTTTTTTACGAGGATGAGACTTGTTGCTACGCTACCACCACCTTTATTTGTTCGTCTTCCAGCTTCTTCTTCTTCCAGATCCAAACGCATGATCGCTTGAGACTCAGAGAATCCAAAATTTGAAATTTGAAACACGGAGATTCAATGTTAACTAGTAATAATGATGTAATTGGCTTAACTTAAAGGAATCAATTCAGTCTGCATAAAGAAACGAGAATCAATGCGCGAAGCCACAAGTAGAAGGAGAAGAGATGCTCGTTCCATAAAGAAGGCATGCACTATCTCTTTGTTTCGTTTGCATGGCATCTATGCATAAAGAACACAAAAGAAGAGGCCAGAATAAAGTGTTCATCAACTAAGCTGCATCATTGCCTTTGTATAATTCATATGCAAGAAGAATTTGATTCTGTGATGAGAAGGGAGAATCCTTTTCAACTAAAGGCAACGCTAGCCTTCCCATTTTGCAACGCTAACTTGGGGATTTGAAGCATCTCTATCTCTCTCCACGGTCCCAGCTCTCTGATAATTGGTTTCATGACAGTGAAGGCAAGCTCCAAATCATCATCTTAATTATTAATTCCTCTCTGAAGTTCTGATAAAGCCATTTGTATTGAATTCAGAAACCATATTTGAACCAGTTCTAGTTCTGCCTTCTGTTTTTGCAGTACTTGTACATGGTGATGAGGATAAATGTAGATTGCAATGGCTGCTATAGAAAAGTAAAGAGAGCCCTTCTTAAGATTCCAGGTTAGCCCTTCAAATGAATTAAACCCTTTATCTTATTTCATTAACTGGGTCTAATGCAGTACAATGATTCCTGTGTTGAATTAACTGTACTCTATAGAAATGGAGTCACATCTGATAGAGAAGAAGCAAAGCAGGGTAATAGTGTGTGGGAGCTTCGTCCCTCAGGATGTGGCAATCAAGATAAAGAAGAAGACTAATCGCAGAGTTGAGATATTAGAAATAGGAGACATACATGAGCAATAGCAATAGTGTGAGCGAGGATGAGAAGCCTGTGATCAATAATTCAAACCTTCGACTGAAGCCACAGTTAACCACTAGACACCTGGAATGTTGTTGTACGTGTTATTTCATATGCTAACACCCATTTTGTCAACCTGTCTTCTCGTTTAGGTTTATATTGCTTTGGTTCTCGATCTAAGTTCTTTACAGGAAATAATATATTTATATATATAAAAGGAAAATTATTTAACTCAGATTATTCAGTTCAAGAAATCTTAATTTTTTCATGAGTGAATGAAAATGTTCATGCTGTAAGTAATGTGAATTGTGGTCTTCTCGTTAACCTCTGGAATTTTGTATCATTTTGGCATATTTTGCTAAGTTTTTGATACTTTTTAGTGTATTTGTGAATATATTGAATACTCAAAAGATAGAAAAATGTGCATAATGTTTGTCAGTTGCGCATTAGCTGGTTATGAGACCCTGTAATAATTAGAAATTAATTTTCTTAAAATTTTTAGATGTGCACTATCTTAAGAATCAACATCGTTATTTATAATTCAATGATATAAAACTAGCCTTAATAAAATTGTAGCAAAATGAAAGTCAATTTTTTTTCTCGGTAGTGTCTCTATTTTTCTTCTTCTTCTTCTTTTTTTTCCTAATTCAAAAGCACCTTTTGTAACAAGATGAAACTACAAGTATGATCAAATTCTGCTTTTTTCTTTTCCTCCAATTCAAAAGAACATTTTGTAACAACATGAAACAACAAGTATGATCAAATCTATGACGTCTTATTCGTAAGAGAGCTTTATTTATGTTATTAGATACTACCTCCGGTATTTAATATAATAGCTCGTTTGATATTTAATTTGATTCTAAATATAAGACCCAAATTTATTTTGTTTCTCGTATTTATCTATTTTTTTTCAAAGTAGTTTTTACAGTAATTACACATGTTAAATGTAATGTTTTATTAAATGATAGTTCTAACTAATACAAATTACTAGAAATGATATTCTAAGAAACACAATATCTATTTATCATCAATAACTATCTTAACTAATTTTTTTAATTTATTTTAATTAATTAACTAACTTTTATATTAAGAACAAGAATCAGTATAAAACTCAAATTAGTAAAAACACGAAGGGTTCGCGTTTGTCGCTTGTGACAAGTGAGATGTCCAGGTTCAGGCCATAAGCTAAGGTTGGCAGATTCCTATAGACCAGATCCATTCCCTTAAATTAATACAATTCAAAGTAAACCAAATAGCCTTCCTTTAATAAGCTATGTTCCGTGTGGTCAAAAAAATATGCCGTGTTCTGTCAGCTTCGTTTATAATTATTTATACTTGATACTGATGAGGTCATTTAATTAATTTAAAAAATAGGGAATCTTGACTTTTGGAGCTTATTAGTTTCATACTGATACCAAAACGAAGATGTAACCCAATTACGAAAGGGGTAACATTTTTCAATTAACAAGGGAAACCTGGCCGTCCGGCAGCCAGACCGCCACTTGACGCCTGATATTTAAAAGGGCCCTTTTGATAAAAAGAATTGATTGGAACGGAAATAAATAGAAAAGAATGCTTCGAAAATTTTTTGAATAATGACATATTTGATAAGTACTGAAACAGAAAATAGGTTGATCGAAAATTTTATGTTTGATTGGATAAAAATGGGTTGAAAAATTGTGCAATTTTATTATGTTACCCTTAATGAAAGAGTATAATATTATTAAATAAAAAAACTTTTTAACCTTATAGAATGATAATATTATTTTTTTAAAAATCGATGATTAGCAAAAAATAAATAAAATATATATTATAATTTAAATAAATACAAACATTCAATATTAAATATCAAATTAACTATAGATGTTAAATAATTAAAAAATAATTAAATACAAATTTAAATAAAATATAACAAAGAACTTAGTCCAAGGAATAAAATTAAATTCACAAGGAAAAAAAGGAAGGAAGGAAGTACAACCAAACAATTTATAAACTTGAATGGACATAAATAAAGTCAATTAAAATGTAAATTTTTTGATGACATACATTTGTTCATTTAATTTTAAATGGGTTGAATGATTTATCATTGGAAACCCTTTAAGTTTAATTTTTAATGCAACAAGACCCATTCAAAAATACTTTGTGTTTTAAAATTTATTTTCAAGCAAATTTGATGTAGAAAATTTGAAATTCCTTACATCAAATTTAAATCTATTCAAAGAAATTTGAATTTGACGCAGAAATTCAACTTCTTTGACACCAACTTTGAATATACTCATTTCTTTCAAATTTGAATCCATTGAAGGAAATTTGAATTTGATACAGAAATTCAACTTCTTTTGCATCAACTTTGGATACACTCATTTCTTTCTCGTAGCTTAAAGTTTAGTCATGGGTTTATAAATATGAATTAGAATTTTTTTTTATACAAATTCCAATTTGTTTTTTATGCACAATACATTCCAATTTTTCTCAAAAATTTAACTTCATTATGTCTCTGTTACACTTTGTTTTTGACATTTTAAGCATAACAACTTTTGATTCTATATAACTTTCACTACTACAAAATAGGTCATTTTTGTCTCTCATTTTTATCGGTTTTTTAAAATAGAAAAAAGGTTACTATACTCATTTGTTATGACAGAATAGACAAATATGTACACACATACTCGTCTGTTACGCTCTAACTAACAAAGTAACAGACAAAAAACTTTTTGCTTCCAAAACACAATGCTATTTTTTCATCAGATCAGAGCGAACCCTAATACTAGTTTCTTTTTTTCTCCTCTTCTCCTTCGCTGCAAGCTTCCTCTTCTCCATCTTCCTCTCTTCTCATGTGACAACCAACGTTCTTCTATCTTCTTCTTCTTGGTTGACAATAGCTTCTCCTCTCTTCTCTTTCTTGGCGATGCAACAGCTTAATGACATAGTGAACTCCACAGCTAGCCTGTCTTCTTGATGGCAGATAGCTTCTCCTCTCTTCTCTTGCGTGCTTGACAATATCTCTCATTCTTTTTCCACGGCTTTAGCTTTGCAAGAAGCAAGGCAAGTTATGTGATCTGACGTTGAATGTTTTGGTTATGTGAGACTATTATATGAGTGTTGAAAGTGATTGTTTGTGTATTTTGGTGTCAAAAATTTTCTATTTAAATTGATTGTTGGTGAATAATAGCTTTTGGAAAGCAATGATAACGATTGAAAAATATATTAAGATTAAAAGCATATTAAATTTGTTTAAATATCAATGTACATAAGGTATTTGTGAAAATATCCATGAGAGAAAATTTGTTGGAATATGATAGTTAATTGAGTGTCCTCAATGTTTAATCTCCATGTTAAATTTTAGAAAAGTATGGAATCCTAAAAGTTAAAATATCTATTTAAATAAGTTAGGATGTTATTAGATTTTCTAGTTTTAAACTTTCTTGTGTTATATGACTAAGTTAAGGTGTTTAATTTTTTATATTAATTAAACTAATTTAGATGTTATTGTTGTCATTTGCTTTGACCACTCTAACCCAGAGCTAGCTAGTTCTCCCCCTTTGAAATGATTTGTATGGAAAGTGCAACATGATTTGGTTATGTTGAATTGTTTTCATTGTTGCTTTGTTTTTGTTTTTCTTCATATACTTTAGAATTACGGGTTATAGTAAAAACTGACAATACAAATAATTTTTTTTTTTAAAATGACACTATATCCATCTGTTTTGGCCAGAGTAGATGAATATGTGCTTTTTTATTTGTCTGTTTTCCCAAAACAGATGAATATATGGCACCACATTTGTTTGTTTTTCCAAAACAGACAAACAGACGAATATGCAAAGCACATATTTGTCTATTTTTTTGAATAGAAGAATATGTGCCTTACATATTCATCTACTAGAAACAGACAAATATCTAACTTCTATCTACGTCTTTTTTGTCTACGTTCCCCTTTAAACCGACAAAAAAAGCCTCTAGAGTATACGAAAATGAATATTTTTGTAGTAGTATTTTTCAATTTAAATTTAAATTGGACAAATAACCTATTTTTGAAAAGCTCTCTGAGTTTCATTTTTAATGCAATAAGACCTATTCAAAAACACTTTGTAAATATAAAGTTATGATCAAAATTGTAAGCAAGGGTCAAAAACATTTTTCTCACTAGATTTTGAACCAGATTTGAAAAATCATATCTGTTTTAGATGAAAACATTTTTATTGAGGTAGATGTTGTTAAAAAGCTATTGAATCTATGTTTATAAATAACAAGTTTCACTTCAAAAGTACTTATATATAAGCCATGAATGTTAGGCAAGTTTTACATTTGATGAATGAACTAAAAAGCTCATGGGTCAAACCTGGGTGATTTTTTTCTTTTTGGTGATATGGGTGATTTTTTTTCCTCTGTTAATAAATGAAGCAAGATTTTGCTTGTCAGTAAGGGTTGATGAATATCAACATGAAGAAAGAAAAGAAAATGGAAAGAAAGAAAGATAAGGAGAGAAGAAGATGCAGTAGGTGAAGAAGAAGAAAGAGAGAGCAGTGACCAGCGACGTGTGTTTTGAGGGGTAGATATGTCTTTCAAATTTGCCTAACTGTGTTAGAAAGTAGCTTGCCGCCAAAAAAAGTGAGAATTAATTTTCCTTTATGTAGATGAAAATTACCCCGCCAGTAGGTTTGCCTGATGAAGACTTTAGCCTCGCTTAATTATTTAAAAGAAGTGCATGATTTGACATTTAGGGGATTGCGGGGCCTATTTCTAATAGCCTAGATCCCACATTCCATTTCAGTCCCAAAAAAAGAGATCCTACATTGCATATAATGACCTATCTTTTTACATCAACTTCGAAGTATGCTCATTTCTGTGAACATAAATTAAGCGCTGTTTAGAAATACCTAAAAGTATTTTTTAGAAATATTTTTTTATAAAATGAGATAAAATTTTTTATATATTTATCTTATATACTGTAAAAGTATTTTTAAAACTATAGTTTGGTTTATATCCAAACACTCTCTTAGAATTTGTTTAGAAAAATTTTAATTTATGCATAATAATTCTAATTTTTCTTACAAAATTTGAATTTGACATTTTGAGCAAAATAACTTTTGATTAGAGATAATTTTTTCAATTTAAATTCAAATTAGGCAAATGACC